TCTGGGCCCCTGGGCCAGAAGGAAGAGGGGAGTGGGGCCCAGAACTGCATGTTAATTCCTGTCTGAATTTGTCCAGTTTCAGCATCCAGGTTCTTGTTAGACCTTTGCCTGTGTCCCCGTGTAGGTCGTTCTAGCCTGAGATCACGGTTCTCTGCCCCCCTTCACGTCCTGTGTGTCCGAGCGGGAGGCTCTCGCTCTAAGGCTAACTTTTTGCCTGAGGGCACGTCTTGGTATGGAAATTGTATGTTGGGCCACGAATGCTCACGAAATTGGGGGTTGGGATGCGGGAGGGGGTGAGGGCTCTGGGGCAGGGCCAGAAATGAAGAATTTGGGATGTGGAGGGGACTGTTGGCTGGAACAGAGGATTGGGGCATAGTGGGAGTGGGTGCTCTGCATGGGGGTGCAGGCTCCAGGTCTGGGCTGGGGATGAGGAGATTGGGGTACAGGAGGGGGCCCTGGCCTGGGATAGAGGGGCTCGGGGCAGAAGGGGGAAAAGGACTCGGGCAGAATGGTGGGGAGCTGGGGGTGCGTACTCTGGGATGGGGCTAGGTATGAGGGGTTTGGGGTGAAGGGGGGGTGCTGGGCTGACATTGGGGCTCAGGGGTGCAGGATCCAGGCATCAGTTACCTGAAGTGACCCTTGGAAGCAGTGGCCTGTCCCTCTCTGGCTCCCAGGCAGAGGCAGGGCCACGTGGCTCTGCGTATTGCCCCGTCCGTAGGCTCTTCTCCCACAGCTCTCACTGGCCACGGTTCCTGGCCAATGGGAGCTGCAGAGGCAGCGATGGGGGCAGCATGTGGCACCCCCTGGCTGCCCCTGCTTCCAGGAGCCGCACAGAGCTGCTCCCCGTGCAGAGTGGGGCACAGGAGACCCCCAAGCCCCTTTTCTAGCAGGAGCTCCAGGGCCAGTTTAGATGGTTCAACGGGCTGGATGCAGCCCGCAGGCTGTAGTTTGCCCGTCCCTGCTCCAGCCTCTAACTCTTGTGGCCTCTCTCCAGGTTGTCAACATCCTTGTGGAACTGGGGACCTCAGAGCCGGAGGACAGGCCCAATGGCTATTAGCCAGGATGGGCAGGGATCGAGTCCCTAGCCTGTTTGCTAGAAGCTGGGAATGGGCGACGGGAGGGATCCCTTGATGTTTCTCTGTTTCATTCATTCCCTCTGGGGCACCTGGCATTGGCCGCTATTGGCAGACAGGACACTGGGCTGGATGGATCTTTGGTCTGACCCTGTCTGGCCGTTCTTATCTTCTCGTTGGTGGCATGGCTCATGTAGACGGGGCCCTGGCTTGCATAGCAAGGCGGAGAGTCCGGCCACCGGTGCTGGGTAGCTCTCCCTTCATGGGTTCCCCAGGAATGACAACAAGCAGGAGATCCTCAAGGCCTACCGGAAGCTGGCCCAGCAATGGCATCCCGACAATTTCCAGTCTGAGGACGAGAAGAAGGAGGCGGAGAAGAAGTTCATCGACATTGCAGCCGCTAAAGAGGTCCTGACGGACCCTGGTAAGGCCTGGCCAGGGGGTAGATGGAGCGCCTGAGACTCAGCAAGGCGTCCCTGGCATGGCCACCCTTGTGGGCCCTTCCCAGCCGGCTGCAGCTGCTCCAGTCCTGCCCGAGGCAGCGATGTGGATGTTGCCTCCTGGTGGCATTTCCCGGTGCCCAGCCCCAGAGTGGGAGGCAGCCTCTGCCTGGGGGAGTCTGTAGCTTAAACCTTCCTGACCAAGCTTAAACCTTCCTGATGCCTGGAGCGGCCAGCCAGTGGCATTCTCCCTTCCAAACGGGGCTGCTCTGGGTGTGGCAGGGTGCTCAGGTGCCCATAGCAAAGCCCGGTGAGTGGCATGATTCGCCACCGTGTTCCCTTTCATCACAATTCCCAAGTCTGAGCCAGGCCCTGGTGGTGAAAGTCTGCTGGGAGTCCCCCCCCCTTCAGTGTGCTGCCCCCTGTGGGCCCACACGATCCCACCATGCCTCCGAGCCTGGTCCCCGTTTCCCACTGGGGCTCTCAGCACCAATGGCTGCTGAGGGGGGCTTCCCTGCGTAGAGAGCACCAGCCGCTGGGAGGCGAGGCACACGGGCCTTTCCAGAGGCAGCCAGTCCCCAGGCAGCGGTTGGGTTAGTGGGGAAGAGCCAAGGAACAGCTGTTACAGGTGACAGCCCTGGGAAGCCATGTTCTCCAAGGGCCCCCTCTCCGGTCTCTGAGTTCTTGGCCCCCTGTGGCTCCCCTTGTTCTCCAGGGGTCGCTGGGCTGTTGGGGTGTGCAGCTACCTCTGCTTTAGGGTTAACGTCTCTGATTCCATGGGTGATCCAGGGCTGGAGCACCCATGGGGGAAAAAATAGGGTGTGTTCAGCACCCCGCAGCCACAGCTGTTTGGTGGCTGGGAGAAAGCCTTGGGGGAGGGTGGAATGCAGCAGGTGGACAGGCGGGAGCCTTGGGGAGGGAGTGAAGCAGAGGTGGGAGGAAGCGGCATGAGGGTGGAGCCTTTTTGGAGGGAGTGGAGTGGGGTGGGAAGAACTGGTGTGACGGGCCTCAAGGCAGGGGGCGGAGTGGGACGGAGGCCCTGGGGGACGGGGCAGATCAAGGGCAAGACCTTTGGGGAAGGGGCAGAGTGGGACAGGACCTTGGGGCAGAGTGGGGATGCAGCACCCCATGTGTCCAGCCACCAGTGTCTCCATAGGGTCTTCTATTCAACTGTGTCCGAACAGTCCCAAGCCCCCAGCCCTTAGCAGCCTCGCCCAAGGGAAAAATGACCTCTGCCCAGTCCATAGGCAGCAGTGCCTAATGGGTAGGCACAGAGACAAACTCAGATATTCCCCCAAATCCCCTGCATCACCACACCTTTCTCTTCCAGACATGCGGCAGAAGTTCGACGCCGGAGAGGACCCCTTGGACCCCGAGAACCAGCAAGGGGGAGGAGGGCATCCCCACCAGTGGCCTTTTGAATTTAACCCTTTCGGCTCTGGCAATTTCCACTTCAAGTTTCACTTCAATTAACTCGGGGGCGGGAGGAGGAGCTCCAGACTGTGCATCGAGGGGAGACTGGGGGCCAATGGGCCAGGTGCCTGTCTCTACTGTAATGACTCTGCATATGCACCAGAACCGCCTCCCACTCAAGGTGCCACATTTCTTTTCGGGCTGAGGTGCCGGGCCTGGGAATGGGTCATCTCTGCAGCACGTGCTTTCCAAATGACCTGCAAATGGGTAGAGAAACGGCTTCTTGATGGTATGTCGAGGCCTGCGAGGATTGCTCTTTCTATGCCAAATTTCCTGGAGAACTAATTGGATTCTCTCCGTGTGCATCCCATCTTTGTAGGATCTCAGCACCGATGTTCAACATGCGCCTAACCCCCCCTCTTCATCGAGATGGGCATCTGTTTTCATTCAGATCCTCTCCATCTCCTCTTGTTTGTTTGCCAACGCCCAACACGCATTTAGGAGAAAAGCGGCCTGTGCTGAAGTTCAGTGTGACGGTGGATTAGAAATTTCCCATCAAAAGGGGGTGTCATTTGCCCAGGTGTAACTAGGCAAACTATTTGCCACAAGGAAACTTTCTATGAAAAGTGTCTGCTGTGGAAAGTTGCGGCTTTTTGTTGGAAATACAAACAAAGGCCTCAAAAGTGAAAAATTTTCAATCTGGACTCATGGGAGTTAGGGCCTCATACCTCTTATTCCCTATAAGCATGGCCTGTATCTCCAACCATCTAGCAAGGGCTCTCGTGATGCACATCTCCCCCTCCAATAGAGTAGGCAGTGGTGCATCCTGGAAGATGTAGTCCAGAAAGGGAACATGCAATGCCTGAACTACATCTCCCATGAAGATGTCAGCTTGCCCGGACCAACCAGTCCTGCAAAGCAGGTAAAAGACATTTCTGCTGTGCACGGGTGTGGTTGATTTACAAACAAATCAGAATCAGTTGGGGGAAAAACACTTTCTGGATTCTTAGTATTTTTTCAATGAACCAAAAAAAGCCTTTTTTCCCTTAAAAAAAAAAAAAAACCTCCCTTGCACAGTGAATTTGCCCAAATTCCAGGATTAAAAAACCCTTTTTCCTTGTGTGTATTTTTTTGCAGAGAAATACAATTTATTTCCCCTTCCTGCCAAATGTCCCTCGCAGGCCTTTGTGTAGAAAGATGCAGACCTCATTAGTATTTTCCTTTTCCAGATCTTTTCTGGTGGGCTACATGGTTCTCTATTCCTGACTGACTTTCCTCTACGAGGACTCTGCTAATCCTGTCAGGGCGGATGAAAGCAGGACTTCTATTCCCACCCTCCGTGCTGCTCGCTCTGTCTGGTAGTGTTGCAGTCAGTCCCACTGATATTTTATAACTGATCCGGATTTCTCCCCCACCTCCCTTTGCTATTTTATAGATACAGTTTTAATGTTGATTTCATTCCAGGAGCGGGTTACACACTGTAATCGTTGCGTAAGTAAGGGGCAACTGAAGTGCCCCAACCCTAAGTGCTGGGATTAAAGTTTGTATTGCAAACAGGGTGCCATTTTTCCTTTCCCTCTTTGTGCTAGGGTCTGCCTCTTTCAGCTTGCCTGAGATGACATGAAAAGGCAGAAAAGAGTTGTGTTGCTTTCTGGAGGTCTGAAAGGGTTCTTCATAACCTTAGCAACATCCAGGCTCCAAGGTCTTTTCCTTGAGGGGTGGTGTTAAGGTGGGAGACTGGTTGTGATGTCTCAGCTCTATCTTGCCCAGTGGGAATGGAAGATATTTAACTTAGAGTATTTTTATCCCAAAAGTGTATTAGGCCTTTGAGTTAGGCATTGGCAAGAATTGGGATGAAACTATGGGGCTAACTGCCTTCACCTAGATCAGGTCCCCTGTTGTGCCTGGTACTGCACAGACACACCCCTACAACTGAAATCAGCCCAATCTCTGTCTGAGATCTGGTCTCTTGTGCTGGTTTCCCACCCCCCTCCACCCCTCCCCACCACCACTACCGTCCCTACCCAACTCAGACCAAGGCCACTGTCATGCCTGGCACTGCATAGACCCTCATGCGAACTGTGATCTGGATTCCCATTGTGTCAGGTGCTGCCCAAAGACCTCCCAGCCTAAAGAGATGATGTGAGAGGGGAAACTGAGGCACAGAACAGAGACAGGTTCATGGAAAGCTGCATGGAAACTTTTTAAAGACACCATAATAGAGGCCCAACTTAAATGTATACCCCAAATTAAAAAACATAGCTAGAGACCTAAAAAAGAGTCACCGTGGCTTAACCACCATGTAAAAGAAGCAGTGAGGGACAAAAAGGTATCTTTTAAGAAGTGGAAGTCCAATCCTAGTGAGATAAATAGAAAGGAACATAAACACTGTCAAATCAAGTGTAAAAATGTAATAAGAAAAGCAAAAAAAGATTTTGAGGAACAGCTAGCCAAAACCTCAAAAAGAAATAACAAAATGTTTTTTAAGTACATTAGAAGCAGGAAGCCTGCTAAAAAAACCTGTGGGTCCCCTAGACGATCGAGCTATAAAAGGAGCAATCAAGGACGATAAAGCCATTGCAGAGAAACTAAATTATTTCTTTGCTTTAGTCTTCACGGCTGAGGACATTGGGTGATGAACTGTCCCGAATTAAAGTGTCATTAGAGGAGGAACTGTCCCAGATTAAAGTGTCATTAGAGAAGGTTTTGGAACAAATAGAAAAACTTAATGTTAACAAATCTCTGGGACCGGCTGGCATTCATCGAAGGGTTCTAAAAGAACTCAAATGGGAAATTGCTGAACTATTATCTGTGGTTTGTAACCTATCCTTTAAATCGGCTTCCGTACCTAATGACTGGAAGGTAGCCAACGTGACACCAATATTTTAAAATGGCTCTAGAGGCGATCCGGGCAATTACAGACCGGTAAGTCTAACTTCAGTACCAGGCAAATTAGTTGAAACAATAGTAAAAAATAAAATTGTGAAGCATGTAGAAGAACATAATTTGTTGGACAAAAGTCAACATGGTTTCTGTCAAGGGAAATCCTGTCTTACTAATCTATTAGAGTTCTTTGAAGGGGTTAACAAACATGCGGACAAGGGGGATCCAGTAGATATAGTATACTTAGATTTTCAGAAAGCCTTTGACAAGGTCTCTCACCAAAGGCTCTTGGGTAAATTACATGGCCATGGGATAAGAGGGAAGATCCTTTCTTGAACTGAGAACTGTTTAAAAGACAGGAAACAAAGGGTAGGAATAAATGGTAAATTTTCAGAATGGAGAGGGGTAACTAGTGGTGTCACCCAAGGGTCAGTCCTGGGACCAATCCTTTTCAACTTATTCATAAATGATCTGGAGAAAGGGGTAAGCAGTGAGGTGGTAAAGTTTGCGGATGATACCAAACTGTTTAGGATCGTCAAGACAGAAGCAGACTGTGAGGGACTACAAGACGATCTCACCAAACAGAGGGATGGGGCAACAAAATGGCAAATGAAATGTAATGTGGATAAGTGTAAAGTAATGCACATCGGGAAAAATAACCCCAACTATATGTACAGTATGATGGGGGCTAATTTGGTTATGACAAATCAGGAAAAAGATCTTGGAGTTATCGTGGACAGTTCTCTGAAAACTTCCGCACAGTGTGCAGCAGTGGTCAAAAAGGCAAAAAGGATGCTAGGAATTATTAAGAAAGGGATAGAAAATAAGACCCAGAATATCTTACTGCCGCTGTATAAAACTATGGTGTACACACATCTTGAATACTGTGTACAGATATGGTCTCCTCACCTCAAAAAAGATATTTTGGCCTTGGAAAGGGTTCAGAAAAGGGCAACTAAAATTATTAGGGGTTTGGAACAGGTCCCATATGAGGAGAGGTTAAAGCGACTAGGACTTTTCAGTTTAGAAAGGAGGAGACGGGGAGGGGGGTATGACAGAGGTATATAAAATCATGAGTGGTGTGGAGAGGGCAGATAAAGAAAAGTTATTTATTAGGTCCCTAAATAAAAGAACTAGAGGACACCAAATGAAATTGAGTAGCAGGTTTAAAACTAATAAAAGAAAGTTCTTCACACAGCGTGTAGTCAACCTGTGGAACTCCTTGCCGGAGGAGGCTGTGAAGGATAGGACTATAACAGAGTTTAAAGAGAAGCTAGATGGTTTCATGGAGGTTAGGTCCATAAAAGGCTATTAGCCAGGGGATAAAATGGTGTCCTTGGCCTCTGTTTGTCAGAGGCTGGAGAGGGATGGCAGGAGACAAATCGCTTGATTGTGTCTTCGGTCCACCCTCTCTGGGGCACCTGGTGCTGGCCACTGTCGGCAGACAGGATACTGGGCTAGAAGGACCTTTGGTCTGACCCAGTACGGCCGTTCTTATGTTATGTAAGGGTCTCACCACAGTGCCAGAAATGGAACCCAGGTGTTGTGTGTCCAGGGCAAGGCCAGCCAGTCAGGCTCTTCTTTATAAGTTCTCTCGTCAGCCATGGAGTCTTTCAGGGTGAATGAGACCCTGACTTGCTAAGGCAGAAAATACACCCCTTTGTGTGGAGCTGAAGCCACTGTGCCACCAGCAGCATCAGGCCCTTTGCAGCAGGCGCCTCGCGGGTCCGGATCCAGCCTGTACCTCAGAATCAGGTCTAAGGCTGCAGGGTGGGTTCTGGCCCTCCCAGATTTTCTGATACTGCAGCCCGTACAGCTCCAGCAGTGCAGAAATACACTCAGGCAGGGCCCCGGGCTAGTGGTGCCCAGAGAGTAGGGCTGGCTCCCTGCCTGCCCTGGCACCGCGCTGCGCCCCAGAAGCGGCCAACACAGCCAGTGCTTAGATGGGAGCAGGAAGAGTCCATGTGCTGCTCTCACCCACAAGCACCATCCTCGCCCATCTCCCACTGGCTGGGAGTGCAGAGCTGGTGCTTAAGGCAGGGGCAGCCCTGTGCACCCTCTCCCCCATTCATGGGAGTTGGACCTGAGGGATGGAGCCAGGGCAGGTGGGACGAGCCTGCCTGAGCAGCACCGACCAGCCGTGCTGGCGAGAACCGCCAGGGTCCCTTTCTGACTGAACGTTCCTGTTGAAAACCGGACAACTGGTCAGGCTGCCCAGTGGCTCCCTGGCAACTGTTACCCTAGCCTGGCTCCTGCTTCCAGCCTGACCCGAGGGTGTGGCTACAAATCCAGTGCTGCCCTGGGCCCGGGCCCCATCTACCACCATGCATGAGCCTCTGCTGCAGGAGCTAAAAGACCTATTTCCTCTATCCCAGGTTGTCATGGGTCTAGGTGCCATCGGAGAGGGGACATAGTTCTCCCCTAGGGCCTGTTATAGGAGCTTCACCCCTACTCCCCAGCTGAGGATGGACCAAGCCAGTATCACCCCCTGAGAGCAACCCAAGGGACATGGCCTTTGCATTGAAATCACATTTATTTTGTACAAAATGAGTGAGGAGTCTGGCTCCGCGTAGCCGCCTTGCCCAGGCTGCTCCCTGGCCCCTCACACTGGTGAAGAAATTGTCCTGGCTCTGTGACACCCTGCATTTGCCACACCTTCGGGGGTAGAGTACCAGCCCCTTAGGCAGGCTGGGGAGGTGAATCCCTCCAGAGTCCCTCATCCTGCTCCCCAGTAGTACAGAGCCGTTCCCTCAAAGCCAGTCCACCCAGAGACCCCGGTGCCCCTGGGCAGGCAGGGAGGGGCTGCGTTTTTCCAGCTCATGCGGGTTTTTCAAGATGGTGGGAAAAATGCCGAACAGGGAAACCTCACCCCCCTTCCGGAGCCGACGCAGACCAAGCGAAATGTGGCATCACAACCACGTCCAGCCGGCTCGCTCAGTTTGGAACTGACAACGGCGTTTTAAACCAAACCACTCCATTTTGACACCAGCTTCTAACCTTTGTTATCCCCTCCCCCTAAAAAAAAAAAAAAACCCCAAAACAAAACGGGGCAATTCAGTAGAACTGACACTTTGCCCAATCGTTTTGTTTTCTTTGGATCAGCATTTTCCATTGGAAAAAAAAAATCATTGAAAAATTCCTGTTCACACTGGGAACCTCAGATCCAGTCATATGCTCAGAGTGTCATCGGATTGCTTGTCAGGTGAGGAAGGTCTCTTCCTTCCCCCGCCCCCCGTACACAATCAGGTGCACTTGGGTTTTTCTAACACTTTCTCTGAGGCATCAGGGATCATCCACAGCCGGAGATGAGACACGGGGCAGGGTTTGCCGAAGAACCCTCTTTCTGGCTGCACCCATGCTCGGACTCTAACCGATTCGGGAATTTGAGGGCAGGAAGGATTTTCCCCCCAAGTCAGATTGGCAGGAATGTTGCGTAGGGGGGTTGCCGTGCGCTGCAGCATGGCGCGTGAATCACGTCCTGGGACCGTGGGGTGCGTCCCGCCTCCACGTGGGATGATCAGAGTCCTCGGCCATCGGGCGTATCGAACGATCTCACCGCTTTCCCCTTCCTGGGGAATCGGCCAGTCTGGTGCCCTCGGCCAGCTGCTGGCGTCACCACGGCAACCCCCCGCTCCTCCGGCCTAGACGTAGGCGTTCTTGCCATAGTTCCCAGCGCTGCTGGCGTCGGAGCCTCTCCGTGGGCGGCTGGGGGCGGCCTTGGGCCCGCTGTAGTGGTAGCTGTAACTGGCGGGACACAAAGGGAGGGCAGCAGGTCATGCAAAGCCAGCGCCCTGGGCTGGGGCGGGTGGTCTCTGCTCCAGGCCCCTGACAGCCAGGTGACCAGGGCTGGGGAGGTGGGAGGGGGAATCTCCCCTCCCTTCTCCCGGTAACAGAGTCCCCCGGATCCAAGGCCTCATGCAGCCGCCCCCTGTTACCTCTTGTCCTGCGAGGAGCCTTTGCAGCAGAAGCCCAACAGGCAGCCGCCCCCCACGATGGCCAGCAGGGCCCCGCTCTGCTCCAGGCCCCTGACAGCCAGGTGACCAGGGCTGGGGAGGTGGGAGGGGGAATCTCCCCTCCCTTCTCCCGGTAACAGAGTCCCCCGGATCCAAGGCCTCATGCAGCCGCCCCCTGTTACCTCTTGTCCTGCGAGGAGCCTTTGCAGCAGAAGCCCAACAGGCAGCCGCCCCCCACGATGGCCAGCAGGGCCCCGCTCCAGCCCAGGTACAGCGCTGGGCCGATCTCATACCTGCAGCCAGGGGGAGGTGGGGGTCAGTGCAAAGACAGGGCCCCATGTATGCCTCCCGTGGGTCAGAGCCGGGCTCGTCCCCTTCCCTCCGT